GAGAATCAGGTACTTCCCTATAGAGAGTATCTAAATGGTCAATAAAAGTATGGCACAATGCTTCAACTCATTAGTCAACAGAGAAACGCAAACTAAAACTACGATTAGATACCACTACACACCTATCAAAATGGCCAGTGGGAGTGTAAACTGGTAAACTCTCTGAAAAAATATTGGCATTTTCTACTAAATCTGATCTAGTAATTCCGCCTTAGGTATATACCCAACAGAAAAGTGTGCACATATGTAGCAATAGACAAGGACAAGAATATTCATAGTAGCACAATGCTTAATAGCCCCAAACTGAAAACATCCCTAATGTTTATCAAGAGTATGACAGATAAATAAATCTAGTGCATTTATAATTGACTCCTAAAACAGCAATGACAGTGAACAGATATTGCTACATGCAAAAATGACAAATTTTGTGTTTATATAAAATTCAAAGAACAGGCAAAACTAATATATGCTATTACAAAACAGGGGAGTAGTTAACTCTGGTGAGATGGGAAGGGTTGTGATTGACAGAGGCCAGGAAGGTGGCCCCGGATGTTGATAATGATCAATTTCTTGATCTAGTGGTATTTTCACTTTGTGATAATTCATTAAACCATTCACAAATGAATTGTGCACTTTTTGCACACTATACTTCAACTAAAAAGTTAAACAATAAAGCAAACCAATTCTTAAAAGGTTATTTGTTACTAGCTTAGTATTGATCAGCCAATCAATTACCAAATGCCCTATTATATCCTCAGCATCAACGTCACTGAAATATTGGTATCCTGGGCAGAATCAATGCTTCATTTGAAAAATAAAGAATTCCAAATAAGATTTTCTGTTCTTACGTGGTAGAGTCAGGGACAAAATCATAGTGTGATTTCTAAAATTTCCACCCAATTCTTACCACTTTCCAATTCCTACTGTTGCACAAAAGTCTACATGATATAGCCCAGTGCTACATCTCTGACATGTTTTCCTGTCATTCTTCTGCCTGTTCACTCCTCTCCAGCAACACTGGCCTCCCACTGTTCCTCATAGGTTCCTTGTTTTTTCTTCCTTCTGGAACACACTTCACTCACATATCTGAATGCTTGGCTCTTTTCACTTCATTCAGATTTCTGTTCCAATGTTACCTCAGAGCAGCCTTTTTGGCTTTCCTATCCAAAGTAGCACTCTTTGTTTCCCATAACCCACTTTATTTTTTATCATAACGCTTACTACTACATGAAGTTTTATTACATATTTATTTGCTATTGTTCATAATCCCCCTCAAATGTAAACTCCGTGGGGGAGGAACTTAGTTCTCTTCATTGCTACATCTCTAGCGCCCACAATAGTTTCTGATACATAGTAGGTGCTCAATTATTTAAATGGATGACTGAAGGAATGAAAGAATGAATGGTTCATGTGCAGTAAGAGCTAATGAAACACCACATAGACAAACTATTTTGTTGATTGGTGATCATTTATTTGAACTAACATCAGACTCTGGACAACGTGTGTTAACCCACCTTTGCTTTATTTGGGCAACCTTAAACCTCAAAACCCAGACTTGACCACCCTCCTCCTTTATCCTGCTGTGCATATGCTATTGAATTCCACAGTCCCTGGCAGGGAAACATTAGAAAAACAGAACCCAGGGTTGCTGTGCTGTTAAAGCCAGAAGTACATCATTCATTATGTGAATAAAATACATAGAGAATAAAATAGCCACAGAGTAACGGGAGTTTTATTCTCTCTTTATTCCATTTCACTCCCTCTCTATTTTACTTACGTTATGAAATGATGCTCCCGCCGCTGGCTGATAAATGTTGATTAATCTGATGGAGTGTTGGATTTGTTAGCAGGCAAAAGCAATGTAAATAAATCGAGCAGGTGAACTGGAGTTCACAGTGTCATTTCTGAGATTAAAGAGCCTGTCTAGCCCTCCAAGCTCACTTATTACAATCAGGATGCATGCTCTTCTTGTAAACAGACAGAGTAAGCCCCTTCAAGCTGCTCCACAGACCTCCTTTTGTGTTGTCTACTGCCTGTCCCTTCAGCAAGTTTCGTCTCTTGGGAATTGCCTCTATGTCAATTTTTGTGTCTCTTTCAGGGGCTGGAAGTCGGGGGAAGGGAGGTTAGAAAGAGTAGGTAGGTCAGTTTTCTTTTTTGAGGTTATCCAGTCAGCCAGTCAATAATTGCACTTATGCAAGAACTTACAATATGCAAGTCTCTGAGCTAAATGCTTGCAGAACAGTAACAAAGAGAACAATGAATGCAGCAATAGTAATTAACACCTATATAGCAGTTTACTGTTTATAAAGCACTGTACTTATCATTATGTTGGGTGATACTTAAGGTAATTTTCAATTTAGGCATTATTGTTACATCTAGGTCAGCCAGGAGTCAGCTGTGTCACCCTTCCTTTGAAATGCATTTATGCTGTTACATAATGGATTGATGTCCCATTTCAGGTTTTACAGGAGGTTCTGCCTTCCTCAAAATTTGTTTTGAGTCCACAGGGAAGCTTATGGTCTTCTTGTCATTTCCTCCCCTGGGTATTGGCTGTGCTGAAAAATCATGCCCTCCACCCCAAGGGTCCCACAGCTCTGCTCCTTCAATTGTTCTCTTTTCTTCTCTTCCATATCAGTTTAGATATGGAACTCAGACGTGTTTCTGCAGTTGTCCTCCAAGTAATAAGCCACACCCTTGAACACAGCTCTGGCGTGTATTTGTGCCATTTCTTAGAAGACTTGGCACCTACTCAATCGCTTGATGGTTCACATCATAACTTCCAAAGACAATAATGTTTTTTAATTTTTGTTGCTTGCTTTTTTGATGTCTCATCCAAGAAATCATGTCAAGACCAATGTCAAGCATCTTTTGCCTATGTTTTCTTCTAAGAGTTTTATGGCTTTAGGTCTTACATTGAAGTCCTTGATCCATTTCAAGTTAGTTTTTGGGAAAGGCGTAAGACAGGGTCCAGTTTAATTCTTTTGCATATGGATATCCAGTTTTCCCAACACCCTTCACTGAGGAGAGCGTCCTGTCCCCAACGTGTGTTCTTGGCACTCTTGTCAAAAATTAGTTGACTGTATATGCGTGGGTGTATGCCTGGGCTCTCTATTCTAAAATAAACAAGTGGGACTACATTAAACCAAAGAGCTGCACAGCAATGAGAACAGTCAACAAATTAAGAAGAAAACCTACAGAATGGGAGAAAATATTTGCAAGACATGTATCTGATAAGGGGTTAATATCCAAAATATGTTAATAACTCATATAACTGAATAGCAAAAAAGCAAATAGTCCAATTAAAAATGGACAAAGACCTGAATATACATTTTTCCAAGGAAGATATACAAATGGCCAGTAGGTATATGAAAACATCACTAATCATCAGGGAAATGCAAGTCAAAACTATGATGAGATATCACTTCACACGTGTTAGGATGGCTATTATAAACTACAAGCAAATGTTGGTGAGGATGTGAAGAAAAGGGATCCCTTGTAGACTATTGATAGTAATGTAAATTGGTGCAGCCACTGTGGAAAACAGTATGGCAGTTCCTCAAAAAATTAAAAATTGAACTACCATACGATCCAGCAATCTTACTCCTGGGTATATATCCAAAGGGATTGAAGTCAGTATCTAGAAGAGATTTCTGCAGCATTATTTCCAATAGCCAAGATATGGAGACACCCTGAACATCCTTCAATGGATGAATGGATAAAGAAAAAATGTGGTATATATATACAACAAAATATTATTCAGGCATAAAAAGAAGGAAATCCTGCCATTCACAACAACATAGATGAAGCTGGTAGGTATTATATTAAGTGAAATAAGCTAGAAAGAGAAACACAAATACCGTATGGCATCACTTATATGTGGAATCTAAAAAAAAAAAAGCCTATTTCATAGAAACAGAGAATAGAATGATGGTTGCGAGGGGCTGGGTGGGGGCGGAATGGGGTGCTTATGTCAAACGGTACAAATTTTCAGTTATAAGAAGAAGTTTTGAGGATCTAATGAACACAATGGTGACAGGGTTTACGATACAGTATTGTATGCTTGAAAGTTGTTGAGAATAGTTCTTAGGCATTCTCATCACACACACACACACACACACACACACACACACACACACAGAGTTACCTATGTTAACTATCTGAGGTGATAGTTGTGTTAATTATCCTGATCTTGTTAGTAATTCCACAATGTATCTGTGCATCACATCATCACGTTGTACACTTTAAATGTACACAATTATATTTGTCAATTATTCCTCAATAAAGTTAAAAAAAACACACAGTTTTGACAAGTGACATAACCTCTCTGTGCCTCAGTTTCCTCATTTGTAAAATGGTGTTATTGTGAGGACTAAATGAACTAAGGTATATAAAATGCTTGAAACTGCCTCATCCTGAAGCACCCCTCATTGGTTGACTTGTTCAACAGCCCTCTCTCAGCTCCCACTATGCCCCGGGCACCTGATAGCTAGCAGTAGCCTATTGACAGTCATTCCCAGCGCACTGTAAGGGAAAGTCACTGGATTCTTGGGCAAGCTCCTTAAAAGGGACAGGCTTGGCTGACATGCTCCTCCCTTTATTCTTCCCCTTCTTCCCGCCTGGGATAGGGATGTGATGCCTGAAGGTGTAGCACGTGCTTTGTGGCCTGATGGATGAAAACCACACGCCAAAGTTGGCAGATGGGAAAACAGAACAAGCCCATGTCTCTAGCAGTGTCGTTGAGACACAGAACCATCCCTGGCAGGCTGCTCCAGGAATTCTTATCCAGTGAAACAGATATCCTTACGCTTTACATGTTTCAGCCATGTTAGTGGGGATTTCTGTTATTTGCAGCTGAGCATATTCATGACAGGTAAAGTTATATTACTACTAATAATAATTATTATTACTTTCTGTGAGAAGAAAGAAAACAGCATCCTGTGTAAGCAACCTCCAGAAACTGAGGGAGGTAATTTGCTTTTCTGGTTACATTTACTTTACAGGTGAAAAACCGAATGGATTAAATTGCCCTGATGTCACATCTTGTAACCAATAAAGACAGAATCCACACCCATACACCTGCCAGCAAGTTTGTTGCTTTTCTACTATTTCATGCTGTTGCCAAGTTTCCATTCTATGGTTGCACTTTAAAAATATTATCTAATCCTCTTAAATTTAAACCATTTTGTTTTATGTCAGCTATTCCGTTGAAAACCAGTTAAAGCTTGAAGGTGTCATGTAATATATTAAGTATATATTCTAGTTATCCCCATATTTGATCCAGGGTTGTCCTACTACGTTATGCAGTAATTTAAAATTATTGAACACTGCAGGGCCAAACTCTGAGTCTTGAGACATATCATCAGATAACATAGATAAGTTGCAGTTCCTATCATTGATGTCCCCACCACCAGATAGAAACTATTTATCACTCGTTAACTACTGCTGTTAGAGTAATAACAGCAAAGGTTTTCTTTGTACACTTTCAATGAGCCATGCACTTTTTAAAGAAACCCATGGAGTGGACTCTATCATTATTTTCGTTTTTCATTTGAGAAAATAGAGGGATGGAGACAGTAGGTGCATTTCCCCAGGTAAGCAGTGGGCTAGGTTAAAATGCAGGCATGCTCTGAATGGCTCTCAATATCTATATAGGAGACATATTATTCTGGACAAGAGCACATGATATATCGCCCCTTTCTGATGGATTTCTCTGAGCAAAGAGGACTCCTGAGATGATACTAATATGCAATCCCTTGAGGCTGGGCCAGGGGTTTCTTTTCTACACATAGGGCGTATGGTGCCAAAGTTCTGGGATAAAATATGGGGAAGCCTTGGGGAAGGTAGATCCAAAACATATTTAGGAGAAAAGGGAGCTTCATGCCAGCATCACTTTAGCATCGGCAGCATCTGCAGGGAGCTTCTGAGGATCTAATTCACAGGCTCCTACCACCACATCTGCACAGTGACAGTTTCTGACCTCCTTCCTGTTTCTATGGATGTGCTTTCATGCTTCTAAGAAAGGAACCAATCCAGCATCTCTCCTCACTCTCTGTCTCTTTTTTAGCAGCTTCGTTGAATAATAATTTATACCATACAGTTCATCTATTTAAAGGGTATAATTCAATGGTTTTTTTATGTTTACAGATATGTGCAACCGTCATCACAGTCAACTTTAGAACACCAAATTTAGAAGATCACCTCAAAAAGAAACTCCATATGCTATTGCTATCATCTCCTTATCCTCCTAGCCTCCTAGCCCAAAGCAATCACTAATCTACTTTCTGTCTCTATTTGCCTATTCTGGACATTTCATACAAATGGAATCATATAATATGTAGTTTAAATTACTGGCCTCAGAATGATTTGGGATGTGTTCCTCCTTCTACTTTTTGGAAGAATTTGTGAAGAATTGGTATTAATTCTTCTTTAAATGTTATAATTCACCAGTGAAAACCTCTGAGCCTGAGCTTTTTTTAGTGGGTAGTTTTTTGACTACATAATTCAATCTCTTTATTTGTTATAGGTCATGATGGTTAATTTTATGTGTCAACTTAACTGGGTCCAAAGTGCCCCAGATATTTGGTCAAATATTATTCTGGTTGTTTCTTCGAGGGGGTTATTGGATGAGATAAACATTTAAATTGGTAAACTGAGTAAAGGAGATTGTCCTCCCTAATGCTGGTGGGCCTCATGCAATCATTTGAAGGCCTGAACGGAACAAAAAGCCTGACCTTCCGCTGATTAAGAAGAGAGAATTCTCCCTATCTGACAGCCTTTGAGCTGGAACATTGTTGTTTTTTCTGGCCTTCAACCTAAACTGAAACATCGACTCTTCCTAGGGCACTAGCCTGCCAGTCTTTGGACTGGAACTACACCAGCTGCTCACTTAGACTGAAACTAAACCATCAGCTCTCCTGGGTCTCCAGCTTGCCAACTCACGCTTCAGATCTTGGGACTTGCCAGCCTCCATAATTACGTGAGCCAATTTTTACTATAAATCTCTCTCTCTCTACATATATACTGGTATCTCTGTGTGTGTGTGTGCATATACACACACACGCATATATATATATATATATATATACACACACACACTAATATACTAACCTGAATATATATATTTCTCAATTGCACATAGAATATATCTGATTTATATATGTATACATCATGTGTCTTTAAGGTAGGGCAACCAAGAATAAATTCTCTCAGTTTTTATCTGGAAATGTCTTTATTTTGCCTTGAAATTTGAAAGAGAGTTTTACTGGGTGTAAGATTTATGTTTCTGTTGCAGTTATTGTCACATAACACTTTGAATATGTTACCCGCCATCTTCTAGTCTTCATTTTGTTTTTGATGAGAAGTCAGCTGCTGGTCTTACTAGGGCTTCCTTCTGAGTGGAGTCATTTTTCTCACGCTGCTTTCAAGATGTTCTCCTTGCCTTTGGCTTTCAGCATTTTTAAAGATGATGTATCTGTTTATGTAAGTCTTTGTGTCTATCCTACTTGGAATTTACTGAGTTTACCATAAAAGGTTAATTTTTTCCTAAAATTTGGGAGCTTTTCAGCTATTATTTTGTTGAATATTTCTTTCTGCTCCTTTCTCTCTCCTCTCTCTATCTGGTACTCCCAATATGTGATGCTGTTGTGCTTATTGGTTTTCCACATTTCTTTGAGACTCTGTTCATTTTTCTTTATTCGTGCTCTCTCTGTTCTTTGGATTGACTTGTCTATTGTCCTGACTTCAAGTTTGTTAATTCTTTCTCACGTCAGTCCAAATATACCGTTGAGCCCCTCTAGTGTATTTTTTCATTTCAGTTCTTATACTTTTCAATTTCAGGATTTCCTTTTGGTTCTTTCTTATAGTTTCTCTCTGTTGATATTCTCTATTTTCTATGACATTGTCATCATACCTTCTTTATTTCTTTAACCATAGTTTCCTTTACTTCTTTAGTATTTATAATGGTGACTTTGAAGTCTTTTCCTGTTAAATGCAACATCCTTTGACTCTCACAGGCAGTTTCTCTCCTGCTTTTTTTTTTTTTTTCCAGTGTAGGGGCCATACTTTTCTTGTTTATTTGAGCTTTTTTCTTGGAAACTAGACATTTTAGATAATATTTTATAGCAACTGGGTCCTGGACTCCCCATTCAGGAGTTCTTATTGTTATTGGATTGTTTCTGTGTTTAATGACTGGCTGGGACATGTTTTACTTCTTTATCTTAGTTATTGTTTGTCTCTCCCACTACAATACATGCTATCTGAGGGCAAGGATTTCTATTTTATTTTTCTTCATTGCTATAGACTCAGTACCTAAAAGAATTCCAGGCATACTGTAGGCACCACATTGAGATTGGCCGAATGACTATTAAATACTATGGAAGTTGTAACATGTGAATCCTAGAAATTGGACCCAATTCTCATAAATGGGATTTAGAATATTCCTAGAGCCCATTTTACCTGTGGATTTGGCTCATTTAAGTGAGTTATGCTTTATCTGACATCTACTGAGGATCCTCCTCTTCTTCTTCTCCTTTTCTTTCTCCTCCCCTTTGCATCTTCCCCTTTCTCCTTATTTTATTTTATTTCTTTATTTTCTCTGCTGTCCATGCTATTTTTCTTAATGTCTGTTTTTAGAATTTTATCTAGGAAAATTTCATCCTACTACCTGTTGTCACATATCAAAAATTTTGGAAAGTTTTTTCCTAATTTCTCCTTAAATCTTTTAAGAAAATTTCCATCCTTTGCCAGGAATCCTAGAAAAGAAACTATACCTTTTAATAGTATATTTTCATCTTTTTCATCTTGTATCTCTTTTTCTATCTTTATTTGAAGAAATAAATGAAAACTCTATCTGGGATTATACACATCTAAATATTCTTATCTAGAGCTTCAAGTTTCTAGGAATCCTGATTTTCTTCTGATGGATGGTATGATTTTCAAGAAACATCAGAAATGGGTAGGTTAGGTAGATTAATGAAATGTGGCAAGCTCTTTGTCACATTTCAGGTTTATTTTCTAGAAAAAAATTTCTGTCAATTAGCTAGGTCAGTAGAAATTTACCAGCTGTCATGATGCTGGTTTTAATTTGGTTTAATCAGATTACTTTCCTCTTAAGAACCAACACAATAGCACAGGGAGAGGGTTCAGGATTTTGATTGATGAAAAGAAAGAGGACTAAATTTTGAATAAGCAGCCTCACCTGGGGAGGATGGCTGGTAGAATGCCTGCAGTTAGGGCTTTGAGAGGCACTGACGGTTGCACAGGGAAATGGGCTCTTGGGCCACATAGGACATCAGCTGTAAGAAGAAAGCTGAAGTGGAAGGGGAGAAGGACCAGAAAGAAACTCGGCTAACTGCACAGCTCCAACAAGAGCCATCCCTGGTCTGTGCATTCTCTTACAAACAGGCTTTTCCATAAAACCCAAAGGGACCATTGCATAGTCAGGGTTAAATCACTTAATTATAATCTTTTACTTGTCATGCAGTTTATAGGCTCATGCACTGATTGGGTGGCTGTGCCTACGGCATCTTCAGAAATGGTAAAATAATAGGCAGTAAAATAATAAACTATAAGCTCTCTCTTTGTCACATTCGTTGCATTGTTTATCACATCTGTTGCTTTTTTTTCCTGAACAGTGTGATGATCAATTATTCATGACAGAATGATAGTGGTTTCATAATAATCTCACTCAGAGATGAAATCACCCTGTCCATGGAGGTGTCCACAGACTGCATCACTAGACTAATAAGTCACTGTTAAGCACCCACCTGCTCTGGGTATTTCTCTTCATCTTATTTATCCAGACTTTTAAAAATTACTGCAGAAGAATTCTGCAATCGTCACTAAAGCAGATTATAGCACTAGTCACCGTGCCATGTTTAATAAATGACCCCACTGCTATGTTCCAGCAAATAAAAACAAAGTAATGGATATCGGGGAGAGAGAGAAACTGAAACTAGGAACACTTGGAACTATTTTTATTTTTTAAAAAGGGTGTAAATGACATTTAATTGCCCTGTTCTCAATTGATTGATCAAGGATGAGGTGGGGGTAGGGGAGAGGTCAGAATTCTATCTCTGAAGAAGCAGTGACTAGCTCAAGTTCACAGTTGATGGATGTCCAATGTGCCAGTGGAAATAAAGCTGATTTAAGGGAAGACAA